GCACATCCATCCCCCCGTGCCCCTCTGTGGTGGTCCCTGCCCTGCTCCCCAGCTCCACTGCCCTGGTCAGCAGCTCCACTCTCCTGCCTCTGCTACCAGGCCAGCTTCCTCCTTCCTGGGGCAGGGGCTGAGTCCAGCACCCAACACCCAGGTGGAAAATGGTCCGTATGAGAGCACAGAGGGCAGCTGCCAGGATAGGGCTGAGATGCCCAGGCAGCAATGTGTCTGGCACAGTGTCTCCCTGCCCACAGAAAGGCTTCAGGCTTTTACCTCCCTGAGACTGCACAGAGGAAAAACATCTTGGCTTGTCTGCTGGTCCAGCAGCACCAGGATTCCCACTCAGGGATGTACACGGGAATAAGTCAAGGCAGCAGGAACACCATAGCCAGAATGGAGCAGCATAAACTCCTGCTGGAGCCTCTGCTGCTCATGAAATTACAGGGGGGAGGAGTGCTGGCCTGGGCCACCACATCCAAGCTGTGACACTGCTGTCACCCAGCTTTGCTCTCCGGGAGACGTGAAGGAGGGAGCTTGCAGGGTTTGTGTTTCCTGGCTCCAGGAGCTGCCCTAATGCAGTAATGACATCCCTGTCCAGCCCTGGGAGGAGGAAACTTTTCCCAGATGCCAGAGTCACTCCTGAAAGTCTGCTTTAAAGAACAAACTAATTAGGCAGCAGCATTCACTGCTGGATTTAACAACTCCTCAGTGCAAATTGAAGGTGACAGCAGCGTCTGAGCCAGAGCCTGCCAAGGGCAAGGCTGGGTGGCTCCCACGGGACTCCCAACCTCCACTCGCTCACGTTGCCAGGGAGTGCTGCCTGGTCAAGGGCTCCCAGACCCACTGAGCAGCTGGTGGGGCTCCCTGGTGATGTGAAGCCATGGGAATACCATAGAAATCAACACCCAAAGGTGCCACTCAGCAGCAGCCACTGCTGTGTCCTCAAGGGGAGACACAGCAGTCCTTGGCACGCCCTGCTCTTCCTGGCCCAGAGCAGCTGCAGAAAGCTGATTTACTCCAAGAGAAGCTGATTACAGCTTCCTGACACCCAGGAAGGCCACACAGGCAGCAGAACCCTTGGTGGGGCTGGAAGCTTCAGAGCTGTGTTTGCTACAGGAGCAGTGGTAGATCCCTCTGGCTCTGGGCTGGGGGAGCATCCTCTGCACTGGTCATCTCGCTAATTCCTCTTACTAATTATCAGCAGTGAGTAGGGCAAGGGCTTGGCATAATCCCTGTGTGGCACTGGATGGTAGAAAGCTCAGTGAGCACCTGCACACAAAAGCCTATTGCAGGTAACAGGGAGCCACACACAGACTTACCAGGCTTTGGCTCCAGCCCCGTGGGGGACCTGTTAGCTCCTTAGTGCCTGTTGTAAGCTCCTTATCTCTTGCAGGGAGCTCTGGAACCCTTGGCAGCTCCAACATCCCCAGCAGGGCTGAGCCCCCACATGCTGGCACAGCCCCATCATCATGTGTGATGCCACCAAGTGATGTCTGTACCCACCACAGCACAGACCCCCCAGGAGGGCACACACCACCCCCAGTACAGCCCAAAGCATCACAGACACTGTGCACACAGGACCTGGACAGTCAAGAAGGACACAGGGAGGTGTTTGTGGGGGAGACACTCACCTGTATGGATGCTGTGGCTGAGTCTGGGAAGAGCTGTAGGGAGAACTCTGCTCCCTCCTCTCCTCTCCCATTCATCCTGTGGAGTCTGCGTGAGGGTCAACACAGCTGAGATCACAGTGAGGGACTGGCCATGAGGATGGAGGAGTGTTGGGATCTCATCTGACACAAACTGCTACACTGGGCAGGCTGGAAATGGTAGCAGGAAAAGAAGGCAAGGATGGGCCCAGCCCTCCACACCCTGTGGCACAGGAAATCACCCCCAGATTGGAGCAAAGGCAGGAAAAAGGCCACACAACATGTGGGGCAGGATGCACAGCTGAGGCTCAGCACCACCCTGCAGCCAGGGTCACCCAACAGGGACAGGGCATCAGTGCGGCTCAGCCAAGGCCTCCACAGGGAAATCGTTTTCCAGGTGCTAAAGCACCTTGTGCAGGAGGAACTCATCCAGCTGAGCTCCCCCAGTGCTGTGTGATGGGCTCTGCTCAGTGTGGGGCTGGGGGTGCTTTGCCCCCAAAAGCCTCCTGGACCATCAGGCTTGGCCTCCAGCACTCCAGCCTTGGAAAGGTTTAATTTCGTTCCCTACAAACTCAGCTCCTCCAGCAGGACTGACCCTGTTTGAGCACCACAACCACCGAGCACACACAGCCTCTGTGGGCTCTGCATCACCCCGGGAGCTCCAAAAATCACCATCCAGCTCTCCAGGGATACACAGTCAGACAGACACGTGGATGCTGGCACAGCTCCAATCACTCCATCCCATATCTAGCTCAAGAGACTCAGCTAAGGAAGGGGATGAGTCCTCACCAGTGACCCAGGCTGTGAGGCTGCAGTGCCTTGGGGCAGATCACATACATCCCACGGCACTGGCAGCAGGAGCTGTTATTTATGCAGGTACAAGCACAGGCTGTAACCCTTCACCCCGAGACACAGCCTGAACTTCAGCAGGGCTTTAACTCTGAGCTTGGCATGAAATCGATGATCTTAGAGGTCATTTCTAGCATAAACGATTCTGTGATGCCATGAAATCGCTGCCTGGAAGCTGATGATTCATGCCCCAGGCAACCAGGGGAAAGTTCATCCTTCCAGGATGAGCTGAAAGGAGCAGAGGCTTCCCAGCTCCAAGGGGCAACACCACGGGAGCAAAGCCCTGGGAATCTGTCACTCCTGCAGCCAGAGCATCCCCAAGGGACACAGGGACAGGGCTGTAGCCTCAGTGCTGGCTGAACCCCCAGCCACCTGTGGACACAGCCAGGAAAGCGGAGCAGGTGATGTCTCATGAGCTCAGCACAGGAAGAAAGGCTCAGCAAGTCCCTTCATGCCAGGGGATCACTGCTCTGTGACCCCTCTGGGGCACCACCTCCAGCTCCCTCTCCCTGGCTGTCCTGCTCCTCATTTTACAGCAGGACACCATGGAGCTTCCCACAGAACAACAGGATCCCCTGGCAGGGCTTAGGTACAAACACAGGCACTGACAGCAAAAGGTTGTTTCCCTCTTGGGGCAGTTGGCAAACGATATGCCCATTGTTTCAGATGGGAACACAGTCCTGGCTCTGGGTCACAGATAAATAACGAGCAGGAGCTAATTAACCTAACGAAGCTGCTCATTAGACACCGAGAAGAGCAGAGAGTGATTGGAACACCAGCAGGAGCCAAAGGAGCTCCTCCCAGCAGGGAACACACAGCCCCTTCCCTGCCCTGCCCAGGATTCCTGGTAGGAGCAGCTTGGGAAGCAATGCAGCTGCTCCCAACACTCCCTCAGTTCCCATGGCAACTTTCCCTCACTTCATTGCTCTATATTGTTCTTTTTCCATTTAAGAGCAGCCCCTGCTGCTCTCTGCACAGCTCATCGTCCCTCCCTGCCCCAGCACCGCCCGGGAAGTGTTTGTGCTGAGGGCAGGAGAGCACCTAGGGGCAGGGTGAGACATGATCCGGATGGATTCCTGCCCAGGGAATATGCTCACACCTTCCCTCAGCCCATCCCCATCCCCATCCCCAAGCAGCAGCTCTGGGAAGGCTGCAGCCTGGGTTTGGTGACACCAACCCAGCACCAGCCCTCGGGCAGGATGTGTCCCAGAGCTCTGGATATGTGATTACTGCAGTAACAACTGTGATTAAAACCTGCTATTTTGCCTAGAAACAGTAGCTACTCACAGCTTCCATTACACCTGGGACAGGATGTGTGGCAGCTCCTTCCCATGAGGAATCCTCCCAACCACCTGCTCAGCATCATGGCAAGCTCCTGCTTTTCCAGGGATGCAGGAATCCTGCAAGTTTCCATAGAATGACAGAATCCCAGGATGGTTTGGGTTGAAAGGAAGCTTAAAGATCATCTGCCATGGGCAGGGACACCTCCCACCAGCCCAGGATGCTCCAAGTCCTGTCCAACCTGGCCTGGAACACTCCCAGGTATGGAGCAGCCACAGCTGCTCTAGGAAATCCATTCCAGTGCCTCAGCACCTCACAGGGAACAATTCCTTCCCAAGATCCCACCCAGATCTCCCCTCTTCCAGTCTGGAACCATTCCCTGTGTCCTGTCCCTCCATCCCTTGTCCCAAGTCCCTCTGCAGCTCTCCTGGAGCAGCAGAGAGGCTCCAGCCCTTGGAGCATCCCCATGGCCCCACAGCACCCTCCAGCACTAGACACTGTGCCCTGTCTCAGCACAGACTCCCACTGCTCTTACAAGTTTCTTCACCAACTCTTCCAGCTCTTGCCACAGCTCCTGTTAGCACCCCCTAGGCTGATCCCGGCCAGGACACTCACACTGAGGCAAACACAAACATTAGCAACAACATTTGAATTAAATTGAATTTGAAATTAAAAAAGTTTATTTGCAGGTCTGTAAAACAGCTCCATGAGACCAACACTGCCAAACACTACGAGATGAGAATGAGTTTCCTATATTAGCAGATAAAAAAAGTCACAGTCCTTCAACTACTCTGAGAAAAGCAAACAATTATGGACCAAACATTGAATTTCCAACACCAAAAAGTCAATGGGTTGAGTCAGACAGTCAATAGCACCAACACAGGGTGACACAGCCCTGCTGGGGCTGTGGTTGCTGTGGAACAAAGCAGGTTAGTGAGGCCAATCCTCATGTAGAAACAGCCCTGTGAGCACTGAGGGTTCATACAGTGACACACCAACACATTCCACCCCATGGATGCAAACAGCAAGGAAGAGACACCACAGAGCTCCTGGGAGCTCTGAGCCTCCACATGGGGACAAGAAACCTTCAGAACTTACATGGCAGTTCCTGTTCACACACACAACTTTATTCACACTATGTGTACAGGAGCTGTGCAGAGGGAGGTGAAGGACAGGATGCAGAGGTGCTGCAGGGATCAACCCTCACTCCATGGCAAGCAGCAGGGATCACACTGCTTTCCGGTGGTACTCAGGAGGGGCAACTTCATAGTCACTGGCACTGAACAGGGCAGAGGAATTCTTGGCTAAATACCTACAGAAATAACAACAGATTCAGTTACTTCTTGCCCCAAGCCTCCGTTGTAATGCGTGAGCCCTTAGGTGTTTGCCCTGACCATGACAGGATTCCTTAGGCGCTGCAGGGACAGGACAAGGAGTAATGGGGATAAATTCAAAGGGGAAATTTAGATTTCACTGGCACTGAACAGGGCAGAGGAATTCTTGGCTAAATACCTACAGAAATAACAACAGATTCAGTTACTTCTTGCCCCAAGCCTCCGTTGTAATGCGTGAGCCCTTAGGTGTTTGCCCTGACCATGACAGGATTCCTTAGGCGCTGCAGGGACAGGACAAGGAGTAATGGGGATAAATTCAAAGGGGAAATTTAGATTTGATAAAGAAGTTTTCTGGCACTGAACAGGGCAGAGGAATTCTTGGCTAAATACCTACAGAAATAACAACAGATTCAGTTACTTCTTGCCCCAAGCCTCCGTTGTAATGCGTGAGCCCTTAGGTGTTTGCCCTGACCATGACAGGATTCCTTAGGCGCTGCAGGGACAGGACAAGGAGTAATGGGGATAAATTCAAAGGGGAAATTTAGATTTGATATTAGAAAGAAGTTTTTCCCTGTGAGGGTGGTGAGACACTGTCCCAGGCTGCCCAGGGAGGCTGTGGCTGCCCCAGCCCTGGCAGTGTTCACAGCCAGGTTGGCTAAAGCTCTGAACAATCTGCTCTCGTGGGAGGTGTCCCTGCCCAGGGCAGGGGCTTGGGACTAAATGAGCTCTAAGCTCCATTCCAACCCCTTAACACTATGACATGAGGGGTATCAGTCTCACACATAGCTACTCACACCAGCTGTGCCAAGCAAACACAGACATTACAGTTCATGCCCAAAACCCAATCCCAAAGAAGCTGCCAAACACCTCTGGCTCCAGGTGAGCTCAGGTGAACAGTCACCGGATGAAGAGTCACAGGATGAAGAGTTGACATTCGAGGTTTGGGCAGCTGCAGTATGAAGAGTTGATTTACTACTGATCTACTCAAAGAACTACTACTTTTATCCCTCTGGGACAGGACAGGACAGCAGGAAGCTCTGTCTGCACATACAGGGCACCTCAAGGGCTGGAGGAACCATGGCAAAACAAGGAATGGAAGTGTTTGTGCCACCACATCTCACTGATGGACTCGGGAATCTCTGGTCAGTGCTCCGGGGCTCTTTAGCACCTGCAGTTCACTCAGACTGACCCAAAAACCAGGATATGCCCAAGACTTTTGGGCTATTCCAGGGTAAGTTCACTCTGGCTATCAGGCTGATTCATGGTGATCCATCCTGATGTACTGAGGGCTTTCTTTCAGCTTCCAATAGCTTACCCAGTCACAGAATCCCAGGATAGCTGGGAGGGACCTCATAGCTCATATCACTTCACCTTGAAGTATTTTATTATTATCATTGAGGATGGTGTTTCCCTTCTAACTATGCCATGGCTCCAGGGGCTGCAGCACACCAAGCCCCAGTGACTGTCCCAGAAATAACATTAGCAAAGTTCATTAGCCTTTAAGCATTTGCTCAATTGTTTTGGAGTAACTGTTGTGTAATTCAACAGTTTGCTGTAACTATCATCTGCTTTTTATAGCAGCTCTAAATAAATATCGAAGCATTTATTCCCAAACAAGTAGCAAAACTTGGGCACTTTGAAAGTGCAGAGTAACAGAACCATGGAATGGTTTGGGTTGGAAAGGACCTTAAAAGTCATCTCACGGCTATGGGGCAGAGATACCTCTCACCAGCCCAGGTTGCTCCAAGCCCCATCCAGCCTGGCCTGGAACACTCCCAGGGATGAAGCAGCCACAGCTGCTCTGGGCAACCTGTGCCAGTGCCTCAGCACCTCACAGGGAACAATTCCTTCCCAGTACCCCACCAGTCCCTGCCCTCTGGCAGTGGGAAGCCATTCCCCCTTGTCCTGGCACTAGCAATAACCCCGGTGTAACAGGAGAGAATTCAAACCTACTCAGCTCCTGCACAGCTCAGTCTGAGCTTCACTGTGATCTTTGCTGAAGATCCCACACAGACCCCAAACTAAACACTAATTCACTGCAAACAGGCAGGAGTCCAACAGGCTGTGCTGCCTGGGCTTTCTCTTTCTTGCTGAAGGACCTTACAAGCACTTACTTTAAGAAGTCATGCAAATAGTTTAGGAGCAGAGCCAGACTCTTCTCATCCAGGGGGGTGTAGGCCAGCATGGCCCCGATCCGCACTGTGCCGGGGGAAGGAGCAAGTGTTAGTTACAAACAGCTTCAGCAAGTATTTGAGTTCAGAGCCTTACAGCAGCAGAGGAAAGCAGCCCAGGAATCTCTTTCAATATATACAAAGCACATGAACTAGACTTATAAATCTATTTCCAGCCCAACCCCCAATAACTCGAGCATGTTAGGCACATGGAGTAAGGAGAGAGTGAACCCACATTTCAGAGCTGCTTGTCACAGACTCAAGAGGGGACAAGAAGCACTTGCACCCTTCCAACTGCTCTTCACCCTTCTGAGCTGGTACTCACCAAAGAGCCTCAGGAGGTGTGGGGCACCATAGACCTGAGACATGGGAGCGTCGGGATGGTCAGCCAAGATCTCAGCATATTGGGGCCTCTCAAACTTGTACAGCAGTTGAGTTCCCAACATGACATTGAAGTACTCCTTAATTCCAGCCACCACTTCGTTGACTGCATATTCCCTAGGGACACAGAGCACGTGAGCCCTGCTGGAAGGACTGGATGGACACATGGGGAGACTTGGCTTGGTAAGACCATCAAAATGCTGAAGATCTTTCAAGGGGATTTGTCTGGAGACCTTGAAATGCAGAGCCACAGAGTGATGATTCCCAGCCCTCCCTTAAAATGGGCTGTCCTGCACTAAGTCAGGATTTAGGCACACCAAGGGCAGCTTTGCTTCTGGTCATCCACAAAGAGACAGACTCAGCGCAGCTCTTCTAGAGCAACAGGAGTGCTGAGGACACTCACCAGTTCCTCTGGTTTCAGCCAGCATTCATCCCAGCTCACACCAGTTCAAAGGCACAATACTGACGTGACTGGATTGAACTCCTTGATGGAGAGGGACAGCCCCAGTGCTTCAGGCACCTGATCCCTTCCCCCCAGGCCTCTCCTGCCATGTCCCTGCAGGCTTCCAACTCCACCCTGACTGTAAGGAATCAGCAGTGACACTGACAAGTACAACCCTCACTCCACCCTGCCAACAAATTTAGAGCAGACATCAGGACAATTACATCAAGGAAGGTTAAAACACCCTGACAAGTCACTGATCTGCTTCCTCTTGAGTAGAGGAAAATAACCTCCCAGTTCTGGTTTCTCTGCCTTTAACCCAGGGAAGCTTCCTGCAGAGTAACCTTGTCTGCTGCCAGGGCTCACTGCTGGGGGAATGACAGACAAGTAATCAGCTCCTCCACCTCCCTGGCCCCCAGCTCTGTGCCTGTGAGGGACCCCAGGAGCACGGAGATCCCCTGCCAGGCAGCTGGTTTGGGTGGTCTGTACCAGTTTCCTTCAGGAAAAGCCTTGGGGCAAAGTGGGGGGAGCAGAAATCACACACAAAGCAAAACTGCAGCCTGGAATTACCCTGAAGGTTTCTAAACTCCTCTGTCCCCTTGGTCTGGGAACAGGAAGCTGCACACAGGGCTGGGCCATGTCTCACCACCTTCCCCAGCTTTCCATGGATTCCAAGTCCAACAACAACAGCAGCAGCAGAGTTCAGGGCTGGCAGTGACCACTACTCACTTGTTATCAGTGTTTCCTCGGGACTTCTTGTAGTTTGCATAATCCTCTAGGATGGAGTCAACATTCTTCTTGGCAGGAAGGTAGAAGAGCTGCAAAGGAAGGAAAACAGCAAACACAAGTTGTCTGATTTATGCAGACATTTATGTCTGAAAGCTAAAGTGAAACCAATGCACACAAGGAAGTTTCTAGAATGAAATTAGCAGGTTGAGATGTTTTGTGTTATTAAAGAAACTGTTCTAGTTGGGGATACAAAAGCCCCAACCAGCCTGAGCACCCTGGGCTAGGGGAAGGTGTCCCTGCCCATGGCAGGGAGTGGAACCAGATGGGCTTTAGGGTCCTTTCCAACACAAACCATTCCACAAGTCTATGGCTATATCCATGTTTCCATTTAACACTTGTGCTGCACAGCACAACCTGATGATGAACTGCTGAACTAGAGCTAATAAGTCAGGCCAATAGTCGCAATAACAAGGTACACAGGTGTCCCTGCAGACTTCAACATGATTTTTCCCTATCTGGGACTGCCCAGACTGTTCTTCTGCCAGGTACCTGCTTCTGCCTGGTGATCAAGTCCCAGTCATCCACCAGCCATGGCTTCAGCTCTTCTGGGATTTTCACCTTGACTTCAACTCTGTTCATAAATGTTTCTTCCTGAAAAAAGCAAATCCAGACTAATTACTCCCAGGTAACAATTCCCAGCACAGAAACCTTCCTGTTTTCTTTCCAAAGCCCTGGGAGAGAATGGACAATACATACACTCTCAACTGTTGGATCTACTCGAGCTCTCTTCTTCCTGGGGGGCTGAGGAGTCTCACTGGTGCTGCTCCCCTCTCCAATTCCTGGAGCTGTGCAGGACACAGACACCATCAGTAGGAAACACCAGTAAGATTTAGAAAAAGGATTTAAAATAAGTATCTGGTTTCTCTCAGGTCACCTCTCCACTTCATTTTAAACATGACTTGTGCTCTGGAAGTGCCACAGTTGTGACAGTTTAAATGTGGACATTGACACTCAGCTGAACACAGAGGTTTCTGCACGAGAACCAAACCAATATATAATTATCTGTAACATTATGTGGCAGAATATTTGGCCCCAACAGCTCAGCTCTGCAGCTGTGTCACATCTACATCTCAGTAAGAAACCTAAGTGTGACTTATGAAATTATTTCAACACATCCATGGAGACATCACTTTGCTTTTAGTTTGCAAGAGGTCAAAATCTTGACAGACTGGAAAAAGCAGATTTCGTACACACCAGAAAAGTATTCATGAGTAGGAAGAGACCAAGGAGTCCAGGAGGGACAGCACAAGGTGACAGGAGATTACTGAGGCATATTTAAGGCCTTTTTGCAGCTAAGAATCCTTCACTAAGGACATCACTTGTATGCAAAATAAAACATACTCACTTTTCTGCTTGTTCTTTTTTGTTTTCCTGCAAGAAGAACACACATTATTGCAAGTATCAAGAGAGTTGTACTTAAGGGACTGAAAGCAGAAAGCCAGGAAAATTGCCCACTAAGCTCAGCACAAGGAGCAGAGACTCAGGGCCTAAGGAGTATTTAGTTAAGAACACAGAAAAGCAGTATCAACTCTGACTTAACTTCACAGTTATGACACTGTAAGATTTTTCATGTAATAGCTTTGAATTCAGCATTTTGGGGGATGTTTTGTCCTTCACAAGTGCTCCTGATTTGCAGGTGATTTATTCCTGTATTTTCTGCACTCTGCAAGGAGCAGAGACTCAGGGCCTAAGGAGTATTTAGTTAAGAACACAGAAAAGCAGTATCAACTCTGACTTAACTTCACAGTTATGACACTGTAAGATTTTTCATGTAATAGCTTTGAATTCAGCATTTTGGGGGATGTTTTGTCCTTCACAAGTGCTCCTGATTTGCAGGTGATTTATTCCTGTATTTTCTGCACTCTGGATTTGCAGGTGATTTATTCTTTCAGACAGAGATTTGCAGGTGATTTATTCCTGTATTTCAGACAGAACATGGCACAAGCAAACAGAAGTGCTGGGAAACACCAGATAAATCTCAGTCAATTGAAGCAAGTTCCAGTAAAATATCAGCAATCCACCCAGTTTTAGCACTATAGCAGCAGAGAGAAGTTTCAGCAGCACTTTGGGTATTTACCACCATTTCAGGTGATTTTAACCAGTCAAGTCTCAGTCTGCTCACTGCAGTCCAGTTCAACCTCTCCAAAACTGAGGATTGTGTGGATAAAACTCTACCAGCACATGATTATTTCCTTGGAAATCCTCCACTATCTCAAAGGACACTTGTTTTGAAGCTCTGGTCAGGGTTTATCAGGGCTAGGAAGTAGGCAGAGTTCCTAGGAAGGGCTGAGGATAGGAAGAGTAAAAGGTTTGTTTAAAGCTTCAAGTCAAACAAGCACAAGGCTGGAACTGTGAGCAGAATAAGGCTCAGTTCTGCAGGAAGAAGGAGCAATGGCTAAGCTAAGTCACTGATAGTGGAATGGTATATTGAAGGGAAAGGCTTTTCTTCCAAGCCTAAACAAGGAGGAACAGGGGGTTCTTCCAGAATTAATTCACAAGGGAAAAATCATGTTAAGCATTAGAATAGAACAGTCTGAAAAAAATGGGACAGGCAATATGAAGTATAAAGCTCAACCACCATGAATGTACCCTAGGATGGCTCCAAAAACTCCTTGTGTATTACTGCTTTTCATGGAACTCCAGGTAGACCAGTAGAGCCTTCTAGAAGGATCCAGTTGCCAGTCTGGAATCGTTCGGACACACTGAGTGCATCTGACTACTCACATTGTGCCCAGCCAAAAAGGCACAGGGCAGAGCAACTGCAAACTGGCAGCTCATCGTGGCTCTAACCAAGCACCACCAAACACACCAGCTGACCTGGCACAGAACAAGAGATCTGGGAAAGCAAGGAGCTCTGCCCTCCAGATGGGAGCCCTGGAGTGGCAGCCCAGCCCCACTCACCGTGTGGATATGGCAGGAGTCTCCAGGCAGCAAACAGTGTGAGCTCCATCCCGACGGAAGAATCTGGGCACAGGGAGGGGGGAGAAGGAGAGAGTGTCAGACCTCCTGCTCAGCCTTCAGACTCACCTCAGAGTCCAAAATTCACCTTTTGGGCAGCATGGTAGAGTTTTACTCAGCATTCCTGGTGCTTATGTAATTTCATCTCCATTAGTGTTTGGCTCTCTGGAGAGTAAATTGTATAATAGAAATTACCTTTCCTTCAGATCCTCCAAAAATGCTGCAAAAGGTCAATTTTGAGGCCCAAATAAGTTGACAGTGTTACCCTTTCAGATCAGTGTGAGCAGTTTCTCCCCCTCCTCACCACCAGCACTTCATGTATCTACAATAAGCTTCAATTTACACAGGAGCAATCCAGCAGTTTGACTTTGGAAGAGTATTTTGGGCTTTTCCAGCAGCATTTTGCCTTTGGCTGTCAGCAGGTGCAAGCAGCAGTGCTTTGGTCAGTAATACACCACCACCCTGCATCACTGCTGGGTAAGTCACAGCATTTCCTCTCCCTCAGCCTCTGGGCAGGGAATGAAAATAGGGAGACTGTTGGAAGCAGCACAGGTGTGATTCAGAGGGATGCACAGCATGTGGTAACTGCCTAAGGACTAGGAGCAAAATGAGTGCAACAAGCACATGGGACCTGTTCTAACTCACTCCCCCCAGATCAGGCTGCAGCCGTGGTGACAACACCTTTCCCTCTCCCCTCTCCAACCCAAAATCTACCACCAAGGGATTAGTTTTTCAAATCAACATGAAGCAGATGTTTCAGAGAATTCCCTTCTCTCTGCCTTTCCTAAGCTTAGGACAGTGATGGCAGCAAAAAGCCAAACCACTCCCTTCCCAAAACTTGCTTCAACCAGGAGTCTATCAGAGCTGGTAATGTGCTTTAAGCTTTCCAGTCACACAGGGCTTAACCCACAGTCACTGTTGCAGTTGGGTCTCCCTTGGAAGCACCATCAGGAGTGGCTGAGAGGATTGAGCCAGCTCTGACTTTCAGGCCAGGGTAATATTCAGTGTTTACAACCCCCTGCAAACAGGCTGAGCTCTCTGGGTGACTCAGGCCAGCAGCATGGGGAAGCTACTCTGCAGTTACTATGGCCATGCTCTCTGTAGTGCAAACTACACCTATTTACAGCTGAGTCACCCCTGTCCCTGTCACTGGAATTAACTTTCCTCCCACTACTCCATGTGAGACGACTCAGGTGTGACAACTCTTTGAGCAGCTCAATTAGCGATGGTCATGATTTAGATCTGGTTTAATTAGGTTGTAATGACACTGAGCACCAACTGTGTCTACAGAGGTTTGGGTTGGGGTTTTTCCACCTTCAAATGACAAAGAGGTGACTGGGCCCTGTCAGAGGCGAGTGCAGAGCTGACAGAGCACCTGAGATCCCACAGATCCACTGAGAGCAGGAGCTAAGTACAGCCTTGGCTAAGGTTGGACTAAACCCCAGGTGAAACTGCTGCAGGATCCAGTGGTAAAACCCCCAATTAACTGTCCCCACTACTGCTGCACTTGCCAAATCAATGACTCCTATTTTGTAACAGAGTCACCCATGAATGTGACACAAATCTGAGGCTGCTGCCAAACCCACTGAAGAACTGATGTCATTCCAGCATTCCTCTTGTGTGGAACAAAGTCACAAACGAAGTCAGGAGTGAAAAACATCCCATTAGTAATGATCATCTACATAATTAAGTGAAGCACTGCCCCAAACACAAGAGCTTCATGGCAGAGCTGCACTGACTGTGTGAGACTAACGAGAACACCTTCCAAGCCTGCTCTGAAAGCCCACAAAGCTGGAATGAGAGCAATTAGGAGTCCCAGCCTCAAATTAGTCTTTTCTCATATATATTTGAGCTTCCTTCTGGTCTCTGAAGATGTAAACCTATTTTTAATAGCATTTGGGGTTAGTCTGGTCAAAACCAGCAGAAAAAAAGACCTTTTAAATGAAGCTCTGACATTTGTACAGTGAGAGAAGGCAAAGCATTGCAAGGGTTTTGTTCCCAAGTGCTTGCAGAGCCTGGAAGAACCAGAGAATTCTATACAGACACTGATTTCACTGAGATACGTGAGAGTCAGGAGGACTCACAGTATTTTGAGTATCAGTTCATCACTTTATGAGAAAAGGAGTCCAAAAAAACCACAGTTTGTCTACTCAGAGCCTCAAGTCACTTCTAAACTCTGCACCATCTAAAGGCACTTTAATAAAACACTTTAACAAAGGCCTTTTTGCTCCCTCAGAATTGACACAGCCTTTGCATGGGCTATGTGAGAATTAGTGAGGTTTAGCTTGCAATCCTTTCTAAGCAAAATACTATTTAAAGGCCAACCACAAAACTGCCAAGCAAAGGTTTGGGAGGTGTTTTGGGTGAGGCTTTGGGGATGGGTTGTCTGGTTTGGGTTTAGTATCAAAAAGGTTCTTACACTTCAACATTCTTCTGCTGCAGACCAGAAGTCTTCTTGCCTGGAGCAGCACCTCTCATCTTCCCCTCTGCATACTGCTCCCTTGAAACAGAGGAAATTCATACATGAGACCTCAGCTGAAAAAAGCAGCTTATTTTCCCCCTCTTTTTTTAACCTCACTAACTTCCCTTGATAAGCAGTTGTTGGACTGTTGCTCTATTAAGACATTTCCTTCAAGGACTTACAACAAAACCACTTACTGATTGGCCTTTTGAAGTTCTTTCTGCTTCTGCAGGTTGGTGTCCACGTATTTGAGTACTCTGCTTTCTGGAACCCATTCATCCCAGCTAGAAAAAGCCAACAAAACATCCAATGATTACTCAAAAACATCCCAGAATGGCATTCCACATGCAGCAGGCAACTAAAGGCTTTCCAGAATCTGGGTCTAAGCTTTGCTTTTGGACTGGCACCACTCAAGGTGGAAGTTACCAAACTCATTCCCCACTGGCTCAAGCTGGAATCATTTTTCTAGGGAAATGTAACCCTCATTTATATCCAAAGTTTCCCAGACTTGAAGGATGGGCAATTTAGGAGGGAGAGGATTTTCTTTAAGTCAAAAGAAGCATCACAGGAAAAATAAATATTCTATGCTTACTAAATGACGGGACACCATATTCCCATATGGTGTATTCCCAAGGATATCATGGAACAAGTTTCCTTTATCTATTCCAACATTTCATAGGTTAACAAATTCAGCAATAAGATCTTACTGTAAGGAGAAGAGCTCTGATTTCTGTCTGTGAAGGAAACCAAGAGGACATGAATATTTGAAGCATCTGAAGGTAACGAGGTAAGAGAACAGGAGTTGGGGAAATTGCCATGAGAGCAGCAACTCCACCTCGACAGAGAGTGGATCATCTGAGCAATCTGACAATTGTTTCAATAAAACACATTAAAAGTGGCCAAGGCACGCTAAAATATGCAAGTTAAAGCTCTTCAGAGAGATCTGTGGCATTTTTTAACAGCTGTCAGTCTGGGAGCATCATGTGGTCAAGCCAATGCTGTACAGGGGTACAAGACCTTCAGGAGTGTTAGGACAAGGCAAGTTCAGCATCCCAAAGTTAAACATCTCCAGCTGTACCCAGGCCAAGATTATGATTTTAGGGTAGTGCTTTGATCAGTCACTGATGTTACTGCTGCCTGGAGAGCTGCAGGAGACCCTGCAGAAGTGACATGTAAGCAGTGGCACATCCCACCCAATGGTGAAGGGAATTTTGGGTATCCTGACTGTTTATATTAGCAATTCCCAAAGGCACATCCTTACAGAGCCCCTGCTGCCTGGCTCTGGCAGCAAGGCCACTTTTAATGCAGGGAATTGGGAGCTTGAAGGCAAAGAAAGTCAAACAGCACAAGCAAGAAAAGCAGGATGAGGACACCACTCCTAGCACCCTCTGTTGGGATGGTGAAGGGAATTTTGGGTATCCTGACTGTTTATATTAGCAATTCCCAAAGGCACATCCTTACAGAGCCCCTGCTGCCTGGCTCTGGCAGCAAGGCCACTTTTAATGCAGGGAATTGGGAGCTTGAAGGCAAAGAAAGTCAAACAGCACAAGCAAGAAAAGCAGGATGAGGACACCACTCCTAGCACCCTCTGTTGGGCACAG